AAGAAGGGGGCTCCCGCTTGAAACTTTCTCGCAATTCACTCCAAGACGAGGCTCCCGCCGTGGAGACTTTCTCCACATGAGTATATTGGTGTGTGAGTGTGTGAGTGTGTGAGTGTGTTGGTGCGTGTGAGTGTGAGTGAGTGTGGGAGTAATGTCGATGATGCTGATGGTGATGATAATGGTTGGGCTAGTGAGTGAGTGAGCGGCTGAGTGATGACGACTATGCTGATGATGGTGACGAGTGAGTGTGTGAGTGTGTGAGTGACGAAGAGAGGGGGTGATGATGGTGATGATGATTGTGATGATGGTGACGCTGAGTGTGATGATGTTGTTGATGATGATGGTGGTGATGATGATGATGATAGTGATGATGACGATGATGATGGTGATGATGATTATGATGATGATTCTGATTATGCTGATGGTGATGCTGATGCTGCTGCTGCTGATGATGAGGATGAGGATGATGGTGGTGGTGGTGGTGGTGGTGATGATGAAGATGAAGATGATGATGATGATGATGATGATGATGATGATGATGATGATGATGATGATGATGATGGGTGGTGGTGGTGGTGGTGGTGGTGGATGATGATGATGATGATGATGATGATGATGATGATGATGATGATGATGATGATGATGATGATGATGATGATGATGATGATGATGATGATGATGATGATGATGATGATGATGATGATGATGATGATGATGATGATGATGATGATGATGATGATGATGATGATGATGATGATGATGATATGGGTGGATTCCTGTTCCTTTCCCTGCGCGGGGTGTCCAGAGAAAACGCGAACCCCACTCACGATGTGTGGAACAACCATTCACACAACTAGTGAGTATCAATGCGTTTAGTCCCTTCGAGCACTCCTGGGGGTCATCTTCGGGGCCTCTTAGGTTTGTCTCGGGGGCTTTGTGGGCCGCCTTGGAACCATCTTGGAACAGCCTTTGAGGCATGTCGGTGCTATCTTGTGCCTCCTTGGGGCTGTCTTGGCCGTCTCGGGAGAGTCGTCTTGGAGGCCATCTTTGGGCCGTTTTGGTCGTCTTCGAGGGCTTCTCGGGGCCATCCTGGGCAGGGAAGCCGACGGAGGGTTCTTGCATCTTCGGGGAGCCGCCCGCTGCCGTGTTCCGTGCCGGCTCTTCGGCTCCTCGGGGCAGGGCTTGGCCCGCCCGCTGCCTGCCTGGCGCTCTCTGCCGTGCGCAGGCTCCTGGCAGGCTCTCGCCGCGTCCTGCCCGGGATGCGCCCCGCCGCTCGGCGCCTCGGCCGTGTTGGCAGCACTCTTGGCAGTGCCGTCCGTCCGCCGGTGCTGTGCACATCCCGGGTATAGTCCGCGAGCGACTTGCCTGCACCGCCGTCGCCGGTGGCGTCGCCAATCTTCGATCCAGGAATGGTACGGTGCATAGTTTCTCGGCCCTCGAGGCCGAACAACCACGCACCGTACCGCGTTGGAGCGGCGCCTGAAGGGAGTTCCAACATGGTATGGTGCATGGGTGCCGTTTTCAATTTAGGGTTGAGGCGACCCTCTTTGATCAAAGACGGGCGGGGACGTGCATCCTCATTGGCCGGGCGTCGGCTCAGAGACTGCCCCGCACTGGCACACGACATTCGGAGGACGACGACGGCGAGGGCATGGCTACAGAGGGGGCAGCGAACGACGAGGCGATAGGGGAGAGGAAAGGAACAGCCGTCCGTCGGTCGGAGGGTGGCGCGGGGTCGGCGTGAGTTGGCCAGCGTGGGGGACTTCGCGCATCGCGGTCTCGGGCATGCATTCTGTGGAACATACATGGTGTTTCGATGGCGTTGCCGCGCGCCCACGTGCAAAGATGTGCGATATTGCGCGTGACCCCGATGATGGGCTCCTGTGCGATGCCCAAATTCTGTGGTGAGAGTCCGCGGCAACGGATTCAGGCCCTACAGATGGGACGCTGACAGATGGGCCGCTCTGGACTCGGAAGGGGCTCGCTGTTCCCCAGGCCGTTGCCGTTGCTGTTCCTCTTGGTCCTCCTCGTGCACCCAGGCGCTCTTGGCGCCAAAGAGTCAGGAGGGAAAGAAACACACAGACACAATTAATCGTCGACTCCCAGGAAAATGCAAAAATATGGGAAGTGGTGGGGAAGACAAAAACCCAGAAAATATGGGAAAATATGGGGGATATTTTTATTTGTGTGTATTTATTTGTGTGTTCCAGTTCCCCTTCAAAGAGGGGCTTCGTTTTTTTTTACGTGACCGACGGGAAACAGAGGGGGTCGTCATTGCCGGCATTGGCGCGTAAGCTGCCCGCGTAGGGTCGCGCGTGCGCGCCCTCGTCGTCTCCAAATGTGGCGTGCCGCGCTGGCGGCCCGCGTGATTCGCGGCGTAAGGCCTCTACACCTTAGGCGATGCTTAAGAAAACTTAATTTTTCGGCCAGACTCTCGATTATTCTTAATGTTTCAATGTAAATCCTAAGATTTGAATGGGAATTTTGGGTTTTTATTCAAGTTCTGAGACTCTGAATTTCTTAACCCATGATTTCTTAAGCATTTCGCAGGGTGTATGCCATCTCGCGTAAGACTCGTGTCTGCTCGTCGTTCGTTTGGCGTTGCCGACGCTCGTTCGGGATCGTGCTCCCGCTGCAGCGCTGGCCTCGTTTCCGCGCTTCCGCTCGTTCCGAACCGTGCTCCCGATGCAGCGCTGGCGTCATCATTTCCAGTGCCATGCCGCAGCATGTGAAGTAATGCAATGCTATGTGGTGTTCCGCTGTGCGATGCCATGCCTTCAGCTGCAATGCTAGGATATGCAGTGCTTGACTACGCAGTGCCACGCCATGCTATGCCACGCGACGCTTTGATCTTCAACGCCATGCTATGCCATGTTCTGTCCTTTGCCGATGTGCGATGCCATTCTTTGCATTGCAATGCTTTGTGATGCAGATCTTCACTACGCCACGCCACGCCGTGCTATGCCATACTACGCTCTGCCGTGCTCTTCTACGCCCTGCTATGCCGTGCTCTACGATGTATCGCGCACGCTCTCGGGATCATTGTCCTGCTCGACATCCGACTGCGAATAGAAAGTAGATCTACGCCATGGTAAGGGATGGGAGGGAGGGGTAGGACGTCAGATATGACGCGAGCGCACCTAGCTTGCCTCCCCCCTTCCCCCCCCCGCCCCCCTTCGACAATTACACAATCTGAATATTATTCTTCCCTCTCCCACGAACACCCCCAAGGTCGTAGCCTGCCCCCCTACGCGTATTGTCTTTTACACATCGGATCCCCCAAAGGTGGTCGAGCAGATGTGTTTTTCCAACCCCAACGCTTCCGGTCTTTCTAGATTGGCGTTCCCGCCACAGCGTTGGCTCCATTTTCTGGCTCTCGGTCCTTCCAAATCATACTCCTGCTGCAGCGCTGACCTCACTTCTTTGTTGTGGATCTTCCAAGTCGTGTTCCCGCTACAGCGTTGGCTCTCATTTTACGCTTCCGCTCTTTCCGAACCGTTCATTTACATTTTTCGTCTTGCGTCAGGTCTGGTTCCCCTCAGAACCTGTTGTCTACATGAGTCGTGTTCTCGACCAGCGCTGGCTCATTTTGCGCGTGCTCTTCTGCGCCGTGTTATGCCGTGCACTACCATGCATCTCGTACCCTCTCGGGATCATTGCCCTGCTCGACATCCGACTGTGCGAATCGAGAGCGGATCTACGTCATGGTAAGGGATGGGAGGGAGGGGTAGGACGTCAGATAAGACGCTTGCGCACCTAGCTCGCCCCTCCCCCCCCTTCGCCCCACCCCCTTCGCTCCCCTTCGCCTCCGCCCCCTTCGCCGCCCGCCAGAGCCCCTCGAGTCATGAACAAAATCATGACGGAAGGCTTTGCACAGTTTTCGGCTTCTGGGGGCCCGTAGAGGGCCTCGGGGCCGTCAAAAAAAGGCTCGGGACGAGTCCCCGGGACGAGAGACCGGTCCTGGGGACTGGGTCGAGACTTCTGGGGGCCGACGTGATGAAACATCCTGACGTCGGGGGTCTAGGGCCTCCTCGTCTCCCCCGCGATCCTGGTGCTTCTGCCCGGGCTTCGGGCCTCGGGGCACTCACACATGGATCCCGCAAACGACTGGCGCAGAAAGGTGGGGTCGGGGGCCTCCGCTGGTGATAAGCCGAACCATTTTCAGAGACACACGCGCATATCACTCACAGCATGGTCGTTCACATTCAGACCCATGCATGCTCAGACTGACACTCACACCTGCCCACACTCCAGGACTAATACTCGTACCCGCTCAGATTCGCTCCTCAGGCTCACGTTCCCCCTTGGTCACCACGGTATAGCAGGCATGGCACTGGGGCACCCCACGGAGGAGCCGCCAAGTACGGTTGCACTGGCCCGTTCGCAGCCAGATTGAGGGGATGTCTTAGGCGGTTTGTTGGTTTCCGAGCTCAGACGGTTGAGGACAAGGTGCCATCCGCGCCCGTCTCCTTTGTGACAGCCCCATGCTCGCCGCGATGTAGCATACGTAGCACGTGGACACCCCAAGGAGGAGCAGCCAGGGGATAGTTGCACTAGCCCGTTCGCGGCCAAAGTAGGGGGATGTGTTTTTTTTGGGTCCCGAGCTCAGACCCCTCTCTTGAGTTGCAGTTTCTCGACAACCTCAGATCTGGGGGCTCTCGTCATCCTTCCGCCTCGCTCCTCCCCCTCCTTCCCCCCTCCCTCTCCCCTTCCCCTGCGGCCTCCCCCCCTCCTCTGTGGACAGGCGCCGCCCGTGGCGGCGCGCGCGGACGACCTCCTCCCTGGACGAGCGCGGCTGGAGGCAGGGTGGATCCCCCCCCTCTCCTGGGGGCGACCGCCTGTGGCCCCCACCGCCCTCGGGGCCCGTGGCCCGCTCGGCTGCGCTCCCCCTCTCAGCCGCTCTCCGCGCGCGCTGGCGCGCGCGCGCCAGCCCCCGCGCCTCCGGCCCGCCCGGGGGCGAAGGCTGGCGGTGACGGTCGGCTGGGCGCTCCCCCCATGGCATGACCGCGGCGGCGGCGCCGGGGGGGTCCACTGGAGGCCCTCTCGTCAGTGGGATCGAGGTCGAGCTGGTCGAGGGGTCCAGGGATGTGGCGGCGGCTATGAAGGCATGGGTCCCGGAGATAATGGGCTCTGGACTTGTTTCGCCGTTTCGGCCTCTCGGGGCCTTTAACTCGGCCCCAGGGCCGTCAAGCCCCGGGGGAAGCCCTGGGGTCTAGAACTTGTTTCCCCGAGCAGTGCTTGCACGTAGGGCTGGGCTTCTTTTTCGGCTCCCTTAGGCACTTGGATGGACCTCCCTTCTCTTCGCCATGCTGGCGTCTCTGCCCGCTCGTGGGCGCCCCGTGCGCTGGGTGGGTTTCCCGAGGTTCCGCCTCGTTGGCGCCAAGGGCCCGGTCGTGGGCGCCCCGTGGGCGCCCGGTGCGCTGGGAGCGGATTTGTTCCCGGGGGTGCGCCGCGTGGGCGCCTCGTGGGCGCCTCCGGGGGCGCCCCGTGTGTGCCGGGCGCGTTTCCCGAGCCCGTGCCCGCCCGTGGGCGCCTCGTGGGCGCCCCGTGCGCTCACATCACACAGCCTGCGCAGCACCGTGTGCACCGCATGCCTTTTGCACCACGCAGCTTGCAGTGCATTACCTCACTGCACACAGCTCGCACCACGGGCACTACACCACCTGCATTGCACCACGTGCATTGCACAGCACAGCCCACGCAGTGGAGCTCACACCACATAGCTTACATAACGCAGCTTGCACCACACAGCTTGCACAGCATAGCTAGCACCATATAGTTCATACCACATATATTCTATAATATAGCTCACGCCCTATGGCTTACACCACATAACTTGCACCGCATAGCTCGCACCGCAAAGCGTACACATCATATGTTATACCACGTGGATCGTACAATCTGCCTTTCTCCTCCGCCGTGCACTACTTTACTGTTTGAGGTCCACGCTGGCTAAACGTTTTGTCTTCTGTTTCACTGTGCTATTTCCGTTGGTGTGCTTTTTTACCAGGTTCGTGCCGTTTCGACGTGGTGACGACACAGGCGTTCACCGCCGTGCACTTTTACTGTTTGAGGTCCACGCTGGCTAACGTTTTGCCTTCTGTTTCTCTGTGCTATTTCCGTTGGTTTGCTTTTTTACCCGGTTCGTGCCGCTTCGACGTGGCGACGACGCAGGCGTTTCAGGTTGAGCACCCTCCGAGCACCCCGTGTCGGGCCGTGGGGCCCGCGGAAGAGAGCCCACGGCACGAAGCATGCGCGGACGACGAGGTCGGCAGCCTCTGGGGACCCTTCGGGGGTTGGGATCGCTGAGCTTCAGCGATCCCAACCCTCGGTCAGAGGAACGCCGTCCTCGTCGTCGTCGGCGCCCGCGAAGACGGCCACGAACGCGTCCCTGAGCATGTCGGGCTCCGGCGGGAAGCCGTGGCCACAGGGAGCGCGGGCGAAGATGGTATCCACCAGTGAAGGGTGGACAGTTTTTTTCAGTGGCAACAAACCAGGGCCCACGTCGTCAAGGCAACAGCGACTCTCACGTAGCCCAGGATGGGGTGCCGCCAGGGCCGAACCACGGAAGTACGAATAAGATTGTAAAGACGGGGGCGGTGCGGTCGAATGGTTGATATGGAATGTTACCGTCGACGACGATGACAATGACGATGGCGATGATGATGGTGATGATGTTTATGCTTGGTGATAATCTTGCCGATGATGATGACGATGACGTGGATCATGATGATGTTGTTGATGATGATGGTGATGGTGGTGGTGATGACGATGCTGCTGATAATGATGATGATGATGATGATGGTTGCGACGACGATGACGGCGATGACGATGTAATGAGACTGATGATCTTGACGATGTTGAGGATGGTCATCGTGAGGATGATGTTGGTGATGCTGATGATGACCATGCAGATGGTGGCTACGAGGACGAGACTGAGGATCATGATGATGATGGTGCTGATGTTGATGCTGATTATGATGTTTACGATGACGATGACGATGATCATACTGTTGATGACGATGCTAATGATGCTGGTGATGATGGTGATGATGATGATGATGATGTTCATGATCATGATGACGATATGATGGTGATGAGACTGATGAAGACGATGATCATGGATATATTGATGATGACGACGACGACGATAACGACGAGGACGATGCGTTGAGACCACGCGGGAGGCCACGTGGCCGATCACGACGATGTTGTTGACAATGATGATGAGGGTGATGACTGCGATGCTGCTGTTGATGGTGATGAGCCGCCCTGGCGACGTACCCAACCCATTCGCAACAAGTGACCACGCCAATGGGCCCATGGTACGCGGTTGCTGACATGACACGGCACGAAAATGGTGGTGGAATCTACATGGGAGGCTTCCTCATAGCACGACTCACGGGGTATGTTTGAGGGAGGCAGTATTTTAGGATATGACATGGGTCGGAAAAGACGGGTGAAAACCATGACCACCATCGAATGGCCTTCGGCCCCATGTCGACACCGTGCCCAACCTGTGGTTTGGAAGCCTTTTCCCATGTTTGTCGCGATCTCCTGTTCAAACTTATTCGTGCGGTACAAAGCAAGAGCCACTTAAGGGATACCGTCTGCATGCGTCAAGCCAAGTCGCATTTCAATCACGTGTTTTTTCGCTTGACGGGGTAGCCAGCAAACTCTAGTTTACACACAGCCTCTACGTGTATCAATGTGAATCGCGTCTGCTTGCCTCAATCTGCACGAAACAAGTGCCACTCGAGTGAATCGTCTGCTTGCCTAAAGTGGTACCACGCGAGTATCAATTCAAGCATTTCGTTTGTATGCTTCAAGTGATATCAGCCAGGTACCACGTGATATATGTCGTCAGTTACCTCGCGTGGTAACAGTAAAATGCCACTTGAGACATATCGTGTTTTGCCTCCACTAGGGGCATGTCGTTTGCATGCCTCGATTGGCAGCAGGCACGTACGACTTGAGGCATATCGTATGTATGCTCCACGTAGTGCTAATCAAGTACACGTTGATGCATTTCGTCCGTATGCTCTGATTGGTAACCATTCGTCGTTTGTGTCGTTGTTTTTTGTTTTCACCGTCTCCGTCGCCATCGTCGCCATCGTCGTCGTCGTCGTCGTCGTCGTCGTGTGCACACTCCTCTTCCAGAAGTCAGGATCCTCTTCGTCGTCTTCGTCGCTTCTTCGTCTACGTCGTCCTCGTCGTCGACGTCGTTTGCACCCTCCTTCCACACGACAGGAGGAAGAGAGTGAGATCGCGTGGTTCGCGCCCCGGGACGCCCGCAGAGGCGACGATGCCTCCCTGGCCAAGGAGGAGGGCCCCCCGCGCAAGCGCGGTCGCATTGCGCAGAGCGCTGAGGAGCCGTCTGTCCTCCCCCTTTCTTCTCAGAGGAACAAAAAGTACCCGTACCGCTACCCTCCGCCCGTTTCCCCTTTTTTGGGCCTCCTCGGAGGCCCTCGTCGCCTCTGTTGGATTCGCCTCGAAATTCTGGTCAGAACGCACCCCGGGAGAGGTCCGGGGAGCAGCGGCATCGGTACCTTTTGGTCTCCCCATCTTCGGCGGGCGGAGAGCGCTGAGGAGCCACCTGTCCTCCCCCTTCCGTCGGCGGGCGGCCTCCTCGGGGTGGGTGGGTTGGGGTGGGGGGGGGGGGCAAACCGGTGGCGACGCTTCGATGCTCGAGTGTCTTCACCAACCTCACTCTAGGCATCCTGGATGGGGTTGGAGTAGATGGGGTCGGAGGATCACGCCGCATCGCCGATGCGTCGACGATGCGTCCAGTGTGGAGCCCGACATTCTCCACGGCGGCGTCGCCGATGCATCGCAGACGTCGCAGATGCATCGCCGATGCATCGGCGATGCATCGGCGATGCGGCGCGTTCCTCTGATCCCATCTGCTCGGACCCCATTCGGGAGGCCTCCATGTCTCAACCCCCCCTCGCCCACGTCTCCGACTCGCGGGTCCGCCTTCCCTCGGGGCTACCCGAACTTCCCCCCCGCCCCCTCCCCCCCGACCGCCAAAGAAGAGGGCTGCGAAAGCCTCAGAGGCGATTCAGCCTGGGTCGATCCCCCTTGTGTTGGTGCCGTCACCTCACGACCTTTGCAGGGTGCTGTCCATCCATCCATCCATCCATCCATCCGTCCGTCCTCCTCCTCCTCCTCCTCTTCTTCCTCCTCCTCCTCCTCTCCTCCTCCTACTCGTCTTCCTCCTCCTCCTCCTCCTCCACCTCCTCCTGCGCCTCCTCCTCATCATCATCTTCATTATCCTCCTTCTCCTCCTCCTCCTCCTCCTCAATCCATCCATCCATCCGTCCATCCGTCCATCCCCCTCGACCCCTCCCCTCTCCGCTGCCTGCCTCCTCCGCCCCCCCTCCCAAAGGACGATGCCGGGGGCAGCGGGGCGCGGGCACCGCTGGAGTTCGCCCTCGAGCCGGATGAGTACGCGGCCGCCCCAGCGAGACCCTGATCGGCCGGCTCGGGGAGGGAGGAGGGCCCTGCATCCGCCCCCTCGTCCTCCTCGAGCGTCCCTCGTCACTCCGCCTTCTGCTCCTTCGTCCCTCGTCGCTCCTTCTCAGCCTCCTCCTCCCCCTCTTCCTCCTCCTCCACCTCCTCCTCCTCCTCCTCTTCCTTCTCCTCCTCCTCCTCCTCTTCCACTCAAGCAACACTGGCACGAGCGGTTGCAGGAAGGGCACAGGGCTCTCTTCGCATTTTGCGCGCTCCCACTCGGCCAGCCCCCGCGCCGTCCCGAGGTGCTTGGGGTCTGCCCCGCCTCCCACGCCGTGAGCGTAGGCGGTCGCGGCAGCAAAGCGGGGATGGCCTTCCCCCCTGCAGGGCGCCGTCTCTGGAGCACGTGCGTCGGGTGCCACACACACATCAGTGGAATGACGTACTCCTTCAGGAAGGAGGAGTATGCAGGAAGTGCGGGAGGCCAGTAAAATTGTACAAGCCGAAGAGCAAGGGTAATGGTCAGTCACCGCCCACCGATGTCGCTCTCGTCCAGCCAGGCCCGAAGAACAAAGGCAAGGACAAGAAAGGTGGGCAGCCAACTGATCCTGGCGGAGGAGCTCTAGCCCTGCTCAGCCAGACCATCGCGGCCACCAGCGACCCGATGGTCAAGCGCGTCCTGGAGAGCCAGCAAGCGGTCCTCGCCTCGCAGAAGCCCGCGGAGACGCAGGTGACAGCGGACGAGGCGGTGCGCAAGGCATCAGGCGCGTGGAAGGACGCCGAGGCGAAGCACACTCAGGCAGTGGAGCAAGTACTTCGGTGCAGGGCAGCTTTGGCTAAGGCCGAGGCACGCGAGACCGAGTGTGCTCGCATTTTGGCCCAGGCAGAGTTCAACAAGCAGGTGGCCATCAAAGCCCTCGCCAATGCCTCTGGCTTACAGGCGCAGGGGCATGGTGAGGGTAAGGTGGGTGATGACAAAGCTTCCAACGGCGAGTGCTTCCGCGTGGAGGTCGACGAGGCTTTCTTCGCGTCCATCAAAGAGCTGGAGTGCGAGGAGAGTGAGCAGAAGGAGTTCGCGGCGCTGGAGAAGCAGCTGCGCGAGGTGCAGTCCGCCATGGCTACGAGGTCGGCCGAGGTGAAGGACTGGGTCGCGCGGACCAAGGCCATGAAGGCGGCCATCCAGGACAGGATGCAGAAGAAGAGGAGGACGAGCGACGGCACCGCGGCAGGCGGCGCGGGCAGCGTTGGGCAGGCGGCGGCTGAGGGCACCGAGCCCACGGCGACCGCGGGCGCGGCGCCGCCAACAGTCGGCGGCAGCGACGGCTCAGGCAGCAACGGCGGCCTCTCAGACGAGGCTCTGGCGGCCAGGGCCAAGCAGCTCAGCGACGCCAAGCTCGCGGGGACCGAAGCGGCGAGGCAGGTGGCGGCAGCGTCTGCCGCTGCGGCCGCGTCGTGAAGTTCGATCGCGGCGCCTAGCCCTTCGGGCGGAGGCGCCGCGTCTGGCAGCTGCCTCAGCGCGGGGGGCGGCTTTGCAGTGAGTGCCGTCGCGTCTTCGGCCTCTTCAACATCGGCGGCGGCGTCGACTACTGGTCAGTCCACGGGTGCGAGTGCGTCGCGAGGGTGTGGCACAGTGTCAGCTGGCGCAGTGCATTCAGATGATGGCAGTGGCACTGGAGATTGCAGTGCGCTCTTTTTCTCGAACTGTACTTGCCTGGGAAAGAAAGCTTGGGGGCATATCCAGTCGCTGGTGTCGGACACGTCGGATAATCCAATCGATTTTTTTGGGCTAGTTGAAACTCACATCGGAGATTCTTTGAGCAAGTCGTGGGCTATTAGATTCCGTTCACTTGAGCTCAAGCAGGTTTGCAATCTGGCGAGGAGCACAGGTCCCGGCAACACTGAGGCCAAGCGCGACCGCGCCAACGAAGGAGGTGAAGTTCTTCTGTATCGGCTGCATGTCCAGGTGCATGCATCGCTTCCCGATCTCAGCGGAGGATGTACCCGACTTATGTGCAGACGGTCATTCCGCATATGACGGATTTTTGCCGGTGGTCGTGCATTTTCAGTCGTGCTCGGTGGTGCTCGTGCTGGTTTATGGACATCCCTCGATTGGTATGCGATCAGCCAATCACCAGCGGTTTCACCGACTCGGGGGATTTCTTCGAGTGCTACAGTTGCCATGGATATGTATAGGGGACTTCAACGTGACCGCGGAGGTGCTGCAGAAGTCCAGTTTTCTTTCTGGGATCCATGGAAGGATTCGGCGGTCAGAGGCAGAGTTTACTTGTACGACGGCCAAGGGTGCATCACGCGTCGGTTACCTCATCGCAGGCCCAGGAGCTGAGAGTTTCGTTGTCGACATACGCGCAGACCACAATGTCCAATTGGGGCCGCATTGTGGGCTACGTCTGAAGTTGCGGCACAGTTGCCAACAGCTTTTGACACGATCGCTCATTGTTGCAAGCAAGCTTCCGCAGGTGAGTCGGCCTGGCACGGTGCCGACACCGGGCTCCAAGAGTAGTAGAGCGAACGCCGATTGTTCGGTTAGAGCTGCCCTGGCCAAGGACAAACTTGTCGACGAATCGCTCGAGCCCTTCGGCGATTTGTTTCAGGACCCCGATGGGGGCGGTGAGCGCGATAAAAATTTCCTGAGCCCGTTGTTTTTGAGGCCTTTGCCCCCGTCGAGGGCGAGGAGGAAGAGGGCCCGTGGGCCGAGGGAACTTGTTTCAAGCCGGCGTTTGAGGAAGGTTCGGGGGTCGTGGAAGCTTCTGGAGCCTCCAGCTCCGCCAGTAGTTCCTCGGTGCCCGTTGACTCGCCCCCCGAATTCGGTGGTATTTTTTCTTAGAGTACCTCCCAATTCGTCAGTGACCGCTGCCGACCCAGGTCCGCCCAGTAAGAGTGACGAGTCTGCACGCGAGCCCCTTTCAGAGCCCCCCAGCAGCAGCAGCGTGACTGGTCCTTGTGTTGAGGTAGGGACTGCCTCTGATAACACGAGGCCTGGTGCTGTCGAATCGTCGCCCAGGAACCGTGAGTTCCAAGTGCCATCGGGCTGTTGGGTTTTGGCTCAAACTCGCTTCGGGTCCAGTTTCATCCCGTCCCAAAGCCATGGGGTCTACGCGCATTGGTCTGCCATTCGTGATTCGCTGGCGGTGCGAGTTGCGGGGCCGCATGTTCACCGCGTGTCGGCGCCGTGCGCTGGATGGGTCTCCACCTTGGAAGCTGCGATATCCAGTCATCACGGTCTACCTCCTAGTTCAGTTTCACGCGCTGCTGACCCACATCTCCGTGAGCAGCGTGCACAGCAGGCGGCTACCTTCCGCGAGGCTCCTTTACAAGACAAGGTGGCCAACTGATGGTCACGAGTTGTTCAGGTTTTGGTTCAAGTTTCGAGGCGTCGGGGAAGAGGTAGTGGAGCCCGTCAACTGATATATCTTCGTGAGCTTGGCATCAGGCTCGGTACCGACTGCCCTAAGGGAGCTCGCGCAGCGCTTCCGTCCAACGATTGCGAGGACTGGGAGCATTGGGTGACCTTCTTGCGCAGTAATTTCCACCTCGCTGGGGGAAGTTTCGACAGCTTCTTGCAGGTTGCACAGCGCGCTGCGAAGCGTGCCGCTTGTAAAGCTCTTCGGCACTCACTTTCAGAGTTTAAAGAATGGATTTCGTCTTCGGAAGCGTCTGGGGTGCTGCACAAGAGCATCAAAGATCTGCCGACGGTTCAAGACTAATTATTTCACAGTGGTAGTTACCTTTTTTCATCCGAGGGACGTATAGGATGCCAAAGCAACTAAGTGGCACGATCTTTGGTATGACCCCGAATTCAGCGTCGACGAGATCTGCACCGCGTTTGCCAACATGAGGGAGTGGGCTCGCATGCGGGGGCTAGCTCCCATTGACGGCGACGAGGTAAGGTCGGCGGCTGCCCGCGTGAAAGCTAAAGCAGAACTTGGAGTCGACCAACTGACGCCGTTGGATATTCAAAGATTGCCGCCAGAAGGTCACGAAGCTCTAGCAGGTATTCTCAATCTGGTTGAAGATGCGGGTGCATGGCCGACTCAATTGCTGTGTGCTTTGGGGCGGCTTCTACCCAAGAAGGCAGGTGGGGCTCGAATCATAGGGCTGTTACCGATCGTCTGCCGTTTGTACACCCTCATTCGGGAGCCCTGCACCAAGTGCCGGTCTTTCGACGCGGCCGCGGAGTGGGGCGCGGCGGTAGCAGGCAAGTCGGCGTTGCAGGAAGCCTTTTTGAAGGCAGTCGATCAAGAGTTGTGTGTCAAACTTGGTGTTTCCAATGGGTGCGCATTGTTAGACCTCAAATCATTTTATGATATGATCAGGTGGAGCAAGCTTTCTGGCGCGGCTATTCGACTGGGGTTCCCTGGTGTTGTGTTGCTGCTGGAAGTCCAGCTCTGCATGGCGCCGAGAATCTTGGCGCAATGTGGGGTACATGCAGCACCTTTTCAGCTCACTGGGAGCATCATTCAAGGATTGAGGAATGGAGTGCGGTTCGGGAGGTGCCTCACCCACTTCATCCTTGACAGGCTGTGCACGGCGAGAGTGGCATCCTCCCAGCGTATATGGGTGGATGACTTGTATATTGGGCATAAAGGTTCTCGGGCTGCAGTGCGCAAGTCTATCATTTCAGGAGTTGTTCTGGTTCGAGATTAGGTTGTTGGAGCTGGCATCCAGCTGGCACCTAAGAGCGTGATTCTTTGTGACACAATGAACGACAGTAAGCAAATTTCCAAAGTTTTGCGGAACAAAGGAATATATATATCCAAGCGGTGTTGCAGGTGAGTTATCTCGGAGTTGATCTGGGAGGTGGGCGCAGAGTAGCACGGTCTTCTCGGCGGACTCGCACTCTCAAAGCTACAGCCTGCAACAAGAAGCTGAGGCGTCATGCCTTCGCTTCCAAGTGCTACGAGACGACGAAGAAGATTGAGTTTGCGGGGCCGCAAGCTGCTGCGACATACGCTCATCATGTCCACGGCGCATCTGGGTGGCGTCTGCAGCAGCTTCGGAGGCAGTTAGGTTCGGTGACAGGGGCGCATCAGAGAGGAAGGTGTCTTAAGACGCTACTTGATGTCCGCGCCCCGCATCCGGACCCAGGTGCGCGGCTACCGCGGCCATGTTTGAATCAATGGTTACGGACATGGATTGATGACCCGCAGATTCGAGCAGGTATTCGCAGAGTGTGGAGTGAAGTAGTTCAGCAGGTTCGTGGTCTTGATATCAATGAACGAAGCAGATATTTCCATGGGCCAATTTCGGCAGTAGTTACGTACTTGGTGAATGCTGGGTGGGACCCCAAGTCGCCATCGCATTGGTGCCGACCTGACGAGTTCGGGCTGGAGCCAGTTGATTGGATCTTCCCCGACAGCAGCATCGACCAGCAGCATGTTGACACGACCGGCTTGCTGTATGCTTTTGGGCAGAGCTTAGATCATCAGCAGTGGCGAGAGGCAGCCTTGTTGCATCACGGGGCTGGTCTGGAGCAGGGAGCTGACGATGATTCTCTTCGGCGTTTGCTCACCAGGCTCCGCGCAGGCCCGCGTGGCCATCAGCTGGCGGAGCTCATGCTGACGATCAGCAATGGGGGGGGGGGGGTGTTGGACACGGTCAAGGAAGTTCGAGGTGGGGGTCTGCAAGTCCAACGTGTGCCTGCGATGCAAGCAGGCGCCAGAAGACATGAAGCATCGTGCCTGGTTGTGCAGTGCCAACAAGGATTCCAAGGCGCATGTAGACTCAGACAAGCTGGTGCCCGCTGCGCTGACGCAAGGGGACAGCGACTCGTGCTTGTGGTATCGAGGCTTGATCCCACGGCGCATGACTGCTGCCCCAGCGGCAGCTATGCAAGAGGATTGGACAGGTGTGGATCTGCTCCAGGACGGATCGGAGCTGAGTGTATAGGGATTGGTTCGCTATCTCAACGTTTGCTCATTTTTGGTGATGCGTCAGGTGGTCCAGAAAGTCGGTTTCCTTCGCTGAGGAGAGTCGGCCTCGGCCTGGTAGTGATGACTGGCCCGATCACCATGACCATCGGGCCCAAGATAGCTGGGCCGCTCACAGGACGAGTTCAATCTGTACCGCGAGGAGAGCTGCGGTGTTTGGAGCTCGCCATCAGGTGGTCAGCTGGCCCGACAGTGTACATTTCTGATAATGAGAATGTTGTGCGTGGATGGTACGCTCAGCAGTATTTGAGTCCAGGCAAGAGTGAGATGAGTGGGCTGTGGGCGGAGATCGGGGTCCTGGTTCAGCACAGGGACCCCAGCGAGACCGTCGTGCTGCATGTCAACTCCCACCAGACTGCCAAGGATGTGTGCGAGAAACAACCCCCCGAGTGGCTTCTTCGAGGTAATGAAGTGGCTGACGCCATCGCTCCGGGGGCTGCTGAGAGGTGTGGGTTGCCAGGTAGTGTTCGTTCTAGGGTCGCTGAGGCGGAGGGGCGTGCTGCTTTGATTAGGCGGAGGCTCCTCAGGGCCACCCTCGAGGCCGCGGCCGCCGAGCGTGAGGATGCGAAGATTTCTGCGCTTGCTCCTGGTGGTCGTGCCCCGTCGGACCCTGCCCCGCCGCCGCCCCCCCCCGCGGTCCTGGCCAGGTTTAAGACCGCTCACACGCTTAGTGATTGTGGGTTTTTATGTGTGCCACGTGCCGCAGCAGTGGCACGAAGGCCACCCTCCACGAGTGGTTAGACTCCCCTTGTGAGCCCTTAGAGCACGTCGACTCTGTAGTCTCTAGGGGGCCCAAAAAGGAAGCCGCACTTAGCTGGGGGGTGGGCTCATGAATATCATAGTTGTTTCACCAGTCACTCGGGGTCTGGATCTGTGGGGCTTGCGGGTTTTTCTTTTCGGCCAACCTACAAGCGGGGCTCAGGCGAGAGTGTCTTGGTTCTGGTTCCCTCAATGATACGAGGCGGTCCTACCTGGACCGATTTCATCGAGGTGTTGTCCCCAAGCCTTTAAGCGCAGCTGAACGGGCTGCGCGGCGGAAGCCTGGGGGTAGTTGCTCTCTTTCATTGACATCGTCATGGTGCTATCCCTATCCCTATCCCTCCTCCTCTTCCTCCTCCTCCCCCTCTCTCCTCCTTTCCTCGTCCTCCGCCTACTCCCCCTCCCTCCCCACCTCTCTCGCTCCCTCCCTTCCTCGCCCACTCCATCCTCCTTCTCAGTATCTTCCTCCTCCGCCTCCTCCTCCTCCTCCCCTCTTCTTCGTCCTTCCCTGCCTGGGCCCCGTGCGAGAGAGGGAGCCAGCCAATGCCGCGGCTCGACATCGCTCACACGAGCTCGCCGTGCCGCCCCGTCCGCCAGGCAACGTCAGAACACGTATGTGGATCGCGCTAGGTTGGCCGCGATATTGGAGGGAGGAGGGGGGGACACGAGGAAAGGACCGATGCGGGGGCGACGTTGGAGATGCCATGGAGGGGTCCAGAGGCGGGGGAGACGGGGGGTGAGAAGGAAAGGGGGCTGGAGGTCGATGAACAATCGAGGACATGGTCCAGGGTCTGGGCCCTCCCCCCCCCATGCTGATGCCATCGGGACCCCCCGCCCCGCGCGATGGTCCTCACCCCCCTGGCTGGTGGATGTGGTGTGGTGCTGTGGGTGTGGCGTGTGTGGCGTGGTACTGTGGTGCTCCAGGAGAGCTCTGGAGGTCGTCGTCGTCGCCGCCGCCGCCGCCGTCGTCGTCGGAGGGCTCCAGAAGTCGGCGCCGCCGCCGCCGCCGTCGTCGTCGTCGTCATCGTCGCCGTGGTCGTCGTCGTCGTTGTCGCCTTCGCCGTCGTCGTCGCCGTCGTCTTCGTCGTCGCCATCGTCGTCGTCGTTGTCGCCGTCGCCGCAGTCGTTGTCGCCGTCGTTGTCGTCGCCGTCGTCGTCCGACTTCCCCATCCCATCAGGGGGGGGAGCCCGTGGAGCCCTGGGACCCATCCCACCGGGGGGGGGGGGCCCGTGGGCCCGGAGCACGGGATCATACATGACGAAGGCGACGACGGGGGCAGATTAGGTGTCGGACGAATGTGAACACGACGAAGGCGGATGCGAGTCAAGCAAACCGCATTTGATGCCTACGAGGAGGAGGACGACGACGAGGATGCCGTTGCCGAGGGCGGCGATAGCCAAATGGAGGATGAGGAGGAGTAGGAGCAGGAGGGGGGTGGAATTTGGAGGACAAGGGCCACGAGAGAGAAAGAGGATAACGACCGTCAGTGACGAGGATGAGATGGCCGGCGATAGCGAGGAGTACGCGGAAAATTGATCATATAGTTGGAGATGGAGAAGAGCGAGGAGAATGCGCGAGGAGTTGGAGGAACTTCGTTGGGGAGGGCGAACAACGGATGATGATGCCTTGTACTTGTACGGAAATCCTTGAGAGCGGAGTGGGACAGCCGTGGCAGCATCCTTGCGTCTTCCGTCCTATCTTGGCCCTAGCTTCAAAGGCGCGGCGCCCGCGGCGGACCCCCCATGTTCGACTGGGTGGTGCAGCGCGGGGGGGAGTACGCCGCGCAGGGCTTGGTGAACTACATCGCGCGGTGCCCAGCGCCGCCGCCGTGCCCGGCCTGCCCAGCGCTCACCTGCCAGGCTTGCGGCGCCTGCCAGGCGCCCGCGTGCCCGGGCCTCTCGTGCCCGACCTGCCCGGCCTGCCCGGGCCTCGCGCCGGCGGCTGGGCCGGCGGCGTGCCCGGCCTGCCCGCAGGCCCCGGAGGCAGCCCCGTGCGCCGGCCGCGGCTGGGGGCTGCTCTGGTTCGTGTGCGGCGTGGCCTTCGGCCTCGAGGCGCCCGCGGCGCTGCTGAGCGCTCGGCGCGCGGCTCGGTGCTGTCGCAGGCGCAGGCGGGCCGCCATCCAGGACGACTCGGAGCCAGGGCCTGCCCCCGTGAGCGATGGCGACGTGGGCGTACGTGCTGTACATCAGGGCCGGCCCCCGGCAGGTCTGGCACCAGAGGCTAGTGCTGGGTCAGGTGACGTTATCGGCTGGTAAGCTCTTCGTAATCGCCACCCCCGACCGGCACGTGTACGCGGAGGACTACAGTGCAGGCTCGGCCGACGTCGCGGCCGTGAGGTGGGCGACGGCCTTCAACGTGCTGCCGGACGGCATCCTTCCCGGGGACGTCTACCGCTTCCGGGCGGAGCCGACGGTGGCGCAGCGGGCCGCCTTCCTCGCCGCGGCGGTGCCCGAGGCCGCGGGCGAGTGCGCCGGGCTGGCCGCGGCCCAAGGCGTGGCGGCCCCGGCGGTGGACGCCCACTGCCTGCTGCCGGTCCCGGTGGGCGGACCCGCGGCCGGCGCGGGGGCTGCCGCGGTGGTGGCTGCTGCGGGCGCGCCCGCTGCTCCCGGAGCCGCGGCGCCCGCGCGTGTGCCGCCGCCTGTCGGGCCCCTGCAGGGGGTTGTGGCTGTTGGCGCGGCTGACGGACGTGGTGCTGCTCGCTGGGTCGCCGCCGAGTGCTTCGGCGGCTTCCGCGTGGGGGACGACGTGCCCCACCAGGCCGGAGCGGGCGCCATCGGGGACAAGGACATCCACCGGCTTGCGGACGGCTCGGGCCTCTTCGTGCAGTACTTGCGGCCGGCAGACGAGCAGGAGTTCTTCGACCGCATCGTGGCCAGCGACGCCCGCATCCTCCCGGTGCGCCGCAACAGGCTTGGGCGGCGGGAGCGCGCGTGGGCTGACATGTGTGCCGCGGTGACGAAGGAGGACTTCGGCAAGGACTGGACGCTCGGTGGCGTCCGGACGGCGGGGTGGTGCCTGGAGCACATCAACTCGGAGGGCGGCAGCTTGGACGCTCACCACGATCGTTTTCGATCGCTGTGCCGCCTGGAGCCCAACGCCTGGGGGGTGGCCGAGCACCTCCACCTCACGGCGGCGGTCAAGGCCGGCCTCCTCGTCGACCAGCTCGACGGCACGAATCTGGTCATGGTGGAGATGCCGCTGAGGAGAATGCAAACCATTGAATTCGCCCACCTCGAGCGGGCGAAGGAGGCGGAGTCGAAAGGGTACAGTGGCCGCCTCAGCCTCGAGGAGCAGCAGGCGTTCTCGGGGCTCAGCCGGGGCTCGGGGCAGCTGATGATCTGTCCGGAGCTCCTCGATGTGGTTCGTGTCGACGTGGAGCGGGAGGCGCAGCTCAACAAGGCCCTCCGGAAGGGCCGCGAGGAGCGAGAAACCGCCCGAAAGAAAGGCGGGGGCGACAAGTCGTGAGCCGCCGCCGACATCTACATCTGAGGTTGGCCCGCGCTGTTCTGAGGGTGCAGTGCAGGCCTCTTGTACTCTGTTCGTCCCCCTCTTCCTGTCCTCCAGGTTTCTCCCCCTCATGCATACTTCTGCGCCTCGCGCTCCCGGCGTCCGGGACGCGCGCGGGCCCCGTGTGCCGCCGCCCTTCGAAGCTTTTAATTACGGAGGCGGGCCCTCCCGTGCGGTACCCCGCGACATCTTGCCTTTACCGCGGCCGGCGGTGGAGCGGTATCGGGGTACCGACGGGGGGCTCTCCCGCGCAGTCCGGCAGCGTCTGGGTAAGCGCGAGAGTTTTGAGTTGGACTGTGATCGTGCCGTCCACGCCTTGAACTCGCTCTATCTTCACCAGGACCAGCCTCCCGTCGGCCAGGGCGCCGACCGAGCAGTTTTTGTTTCGCTGGGCCAGCGTCGCTGTCTTGATAGGGTTCGGGACTCCGTCGCTGCTCTCGGCCCGCCTCCGCCGGAGGTGACTCCCGCAGAAGCTCTCCGGAAGCTTCGCGTGGCGAGCTGGTATGATGTGGACTCTGCCGTGCTCGGTTCCTATAACCTCGCTAGCGTCTCGCTCCCCTCTGGCTCGCCAGCACCGGTGCCGCTCGAGGATTTGTGGGGCGCGGGCGGGTCGGACATGATTAGGGACTTCGTCCAAAGCCGATTGCTACCGTCTAGTGAGGTAGATACTCGTTTGAAAAATTCCCAGGTCGCGGTGCCGCATAGTGATCCTAAGCTGCGTCGGGTCGCGGCTTTTGAGGAGTTCATCCGTGCATTGCAGCAGCGAGGCACGGTGGATTTCAGCTTCTCATGCAAGGAAAGGGTTGAAGCATTTTTCGTGCACAAGAAATCCGGGAAGCTCCGGCTGGTAGTTGACTGTCGTAGAAGCAACTGTCATTTCCAGGGCCCCGCCCCCGTTTCCCTCCTCACCGGCGAAGGCCTGGCAGGGCTGGAGCTCGGCGAGGGTGAGGAGTTGCATGTTGGCGGAGCCGATTTGTCAGACGCCTTTTATCATATGCAGTTGCCTCCCGATTTGAGACCGTTTTTCTGTTTCAGGGCCGTGCGGGCGGGGGCGGTGGGGCGTGCTAGGGTCAATGGGAAACCCGTTCCTCCGTCGGCCATGGTCTACCCCCGACTGTCTGTGATGCCGATGGGCTGGAGCTGGGCCCTGTGGATGTGTCAAACGGTCCATGAGCGTATTGTGGAACAAGCCGGAGCTTCCCCGGAGAACCGCATTGTAGATGAGCAGGTGACGCCGGACCTTCATCGAGCGTGCCATTCGCAGTATGTGGACAACTTCATCGCCGTCTCTACCGACGCCAGTGCTGTTCGCTCTCTCGTTGCTGATGCTATTCGTGCTCTTGAAGGGCGGGGTCTGGTCGTTCATGCGGAGGAGTATTCTGGGGAGGACAAGGTGGCCCAGGTTTTGGGGTGCCAGATCGACGGGTCCCGGGGCCGCGTGGCTGCCACCCCTGTCCGCCTCTGGAGGGCCCGCCTGGCCATTCGGGCGGTCCTCCGGAGGGGGAGGTGCTCTGGGCGTGACCTGGAGCGCCTCCTGGGGCATCTTGTCTTCCTCTCCCTGGTCCGCCGGGAGGGGTTATCGCTGTTCTGGTCGTGCTATGCCTTCGTCAGGAAGAATTGCACCCAGGAAGAGCGTCTGTGGGCTTCGGTACGTCGCGAACTCTCTCTCTGGGATGGGCTTGCTCCTCTCCTTTGGCGGGACCTCCGGGCGAGCTGGAGCGACGAGGTGGTGGCCGTCGATGCTAGTGAGTGGGGGCTGGGGGCGTGCGCCGCACAGTGTGGGGCCTCTCTGGCCCGGAGCGTCGGCCGGACCTCGGAGCGATGGCGCTGGGGTCGGGTCGGCGCTGCCATGGGTCCTCGTCGCCACGCGCTGGGCCACGCTCGTAAAGCCGAGGCGGCGGCGGCCCTGGCGGGGGAGGCCCGCGAGGCTGCCCCCTGGATCGCCGCCGCCAACGACGTCCCGGGGCCCGAGTGCGCGCCCCCTCAGCCCCCCTCGGCTGGCTCAGGTGTCCTGGACAGCCCCGGCGACGTCTTCGGGTTCGGTCGGGTCAAGCGGGTCGTGGACTTCCCAGAGGTCCCGCGGGTTATGATCGAGCTGCAGTGGCCCGTCGTCGGTCGCTTCCCGTGGAGGCGCAAGGGGGAGAGTATCGCCGTGTACGAGGCCAGGGCCACCCTGTACGGCTTTCGTCATCTCCATCGTTCGTCTCGGAACCTCGGGAAGCACGTGCTGGTCCTGGGGGACTCGCAGTCGACGGCCGGGGCGGTGACGCGGTTTCGGAGCGACAGCCGTGGCATGATGCGGGTCACCCAGGCGATCGCGGCCCTCTCGCTCGCGACCGGTTCGGCCTTGCATTATCGATGGTTGCCCTCGGAGTTGAACGTCGCGGACTCTCCTTCCCGAGGCCTCTGGGCTCCAGCTGCTCCGAGCCCGCTCGATTTCTCCAAACATGCTCCTGCGGGCCAGCCCCGCACCGACCTCGACCGGCGCGCGGATGGCGGCGCCGGCGGCGCCGACGGCCCCGCTGGCCTCGCCGCTGGACAGGCGGGAGGCCACCCGTGGTGCCATGACGGCGAACCTCTCTGCGCGGGCCCCCGGCCCGCCGCGCCGGCGGCCAGCCGTTGCCCGCCCTCCTCCGGCCAAGAGGAAGCGCCAGACGGTGGCCGACGTCGCGGCCCGGCGGAGGGCCTCTGCTGTCACAGTGGGCGGGCTCACGGTGCTCGAGAGCGCCTCGGTTCGGCCCCGGACGCGGCAGAAGTACCAGTCGCTGTTCGCCGAGTTCCTGGCGTGGCTCGCCGTCCCGGTGGCGACCTCCGAGGCGGGCGTCGACCAGCAGCTCGTGGGGTGGCTGGACGCGCTGTACCTGGGCGGCGAGAACCTGGGCTCGGCCCAGTGGGGCTTCGCGGCGGTGACGTTCTTCACGGGCCTCCAGAAGTCCGCGGGGGCCCTCATGCCCAGGAGCCGGAGGGCCCTCCAGGGGTTCAGGCGCTGCTGCCCTCCCCAGTCGCGGCTTCCGCTGCCGCGCGAGGTGGTGGCCCTGATCGCCAACGAGCTGGTCAGGTTGGGGAAGCTGCCCTTCGCGATCGCGATCGTCGTGATCTTCGAGCTGTACCTTCGGCCAGGCGAGATTCTCAACGTGAGGGTGGTGGACCTCATACCCCCGGTGCCGGGCGTGGCGAGCGCCCCCTGCTGGGCCATCGCGCTTCGCGCGCAGGAGGTCGGGAGGTCGTCAAAGACGAACGAGTTCGACGAGTCCATGCGCCTGGACTTGGAGCGGCATGCCCCTCTCGGTCCGGCGCTCAAGGCCCTCTGCCAGGGCCGGAGCCCGGGCTCGCCGATCTTCGACTTCGCCCTGAAGGACCTGGTGACGGCGGTGTGCGGCGTCGTGCGGAGCCTCGAGCTGGACGAGTACCTCGGCGACGTCCACCTGCACCAGCTCAGGCACGGCGGCGCCTCGCACGACTCCGCCGGGGGCTTCAGGAGCCTGGAGGACGTGAGGCGCCGCGGGCGCTGGCGGTCGTGGGCTTCGGTCAGGCGCTACGAGAAGGGCAGCCGCATCGGCCAGGTGCTGCTCAAGCTGCCCGAGGACCTCCGCGCCCACGCGCTGTCCTGCGAGCGCTCGATGGCCTCCATCGTCCGCGGCCGGCCTTGTCCGGCGGCCCCCGGCCTCAGGTCCGCTTCTTCCTCGAGGTCTTCTCGGGGTCAGGCCGGCTCGGCCAAGCGGTCGCGAGGGAGGGCGTGAACGTTCTTCTCTGGGACGTGGAGCTGGGTGCCGATTACGATCTTCGTCTGGCCCGGAACCGCGGCCTCATCAGAGGATGGATCCGCTCAGGCATCGTGATTGGCGTCCACTTGGGAACGCCATGCTCCTCGTTTTCGCGGGCGCGCGATGTGCCCCCAGGCCCTCCACCGTTGAGGTCAAACTCGTCACCCATGGGCCTCGACGACCTGAGCCCCGCCGACGCCGACAAGGTTCGCGTCGGCAACTTGTTAATGTTTTTCTCCGTGGCGGTGATGCGGGATGCTATGCTTTTGGGAATACCAGCTACTCTTGAGAACCCCGCCCGGAGCCGCATCTGGATTTGCCCCGCCATGCAGAGACTTCGAAAATCCAACAAGATCAATTTCACCGTCACCGATTTCTGCATGTGGGGCGCCCAGCGGAGGAAGTCGACCAGTTTCCTCAGCACGGGGCTGTGCATGGACGCCCTCGCCGAGGCTCGCTGTCTCGGCGCCGAGCGTGGCCTGTGCAAGCGCGCCGGCCAGCCGCGCATCCCCATCCAAGGGAACAACGACAAAGGTGTATTCTGGTCCAAGATCGCCGAGCCTTATCCTCCTGAACTTTGTAAAGCCCTGGCTTCTATCCACTGCAATGCGTGGGCCTCGTCTAAAGCCGAGTTGTTCGACAAGAAGGTGTTTGCGGCCCCGTCGGGGCCAGATTGCTGATCGGGTGGTCCTGGAGGTCCGCCAGGTTTGGGAGGTGTGCGAGCTCGGCTCCCGAATGTTCTGGCCTCGCCCGCTCCGTTTCGCAAAGGTCGTCGACTCGTGCTACGCCGTCTGGCTGGAAAACGAAGCCCGGGGGGATGCCTTGTACTTGTACGGAAATCCTTGAGAGCGGAGTGGGACAGCCGTGGCAGCATCCTTGCGTCTTCCGTCCTATCTTGGCTCTAGCTTCACCCCCATCTACCCCAACCGCCGCCCTGTTTTTCTTTCAATTTAAGGTTTCTTCCTCGTTAGTTGCTTTTGAAGGGGAGGTGTGCGAGCTCGGCTCCCGAATGTTCTGGCCTCGCCCGCTCCGTTTCGCAAAGGTCGTCGACTCGTGCTACGCCGTCTGGCTGGAAAACGAAGCCCGGGGGGATGATGATGATTATGATGATGATGATGATGATAATGATGATAATGATGATGATGGTGATGATGATGATGCTGTTGATGATGACGATGCTGATGATGACGACTATGATGATGGCGATGACCACGACGATTATGATGATGACAAGAATGACGATGATGCTGATGATGATGATGATGGTGGTTGTGGTGGTGGCGAGAACGATTATGCTTATGATGATGATGATGAAGATGGTGATGATAACGGTAATGTTAATGATCCTGATAATGCTAATGATGATGAGGACGATGAGGATGTTGATGTCGATGATGATGCTGATGCTTTTGCTGCTGATGGTGCTGCTGATGATGATGAGGATGAGGTTGACGATTATGATGACGATTATGATGATGATACCGATGATGATCATGATTATGGTGACGATTATGTTGATGCTGATTATGATGATGCTGATGACGGTTGATGATGATGATGCTGATGATGATGATGATGATGCTGATGGTAATGAGGATGAGGATGCTGATGATGGTGATGATGATGATGCTGTTGATGATGATGATGATCATGATGATGATGATGATGATGATGGTGATGATGATGATGGTGATGATGGTGATGGTGGTGATGGTGGTGGTGGTGCTGGTGGTGCTGGCGGTGATGATGAGGATGATGGTTGATTCTGGTTCTGGGTGCGTGCCCCAAACCAGACCAGCCCAGTCCGAGACAGCCCGACAGGCCTCATTGGAGGTGCGACAGGGAGGAGTGATTCATCAGGTGAAGGGATGGAGGATGTTGATGATGAGAAGGGGACGAGGAACAGGAGGGGGAAGAGCAACGATGTTGCAATAGACGCTTTCTTCAAGTTGCCTCTCCGTAGGTCCCTACAAGAATGTGCTTTCATTGCGGGAAGCGCCCCGTGGGAACACGTCCTTCCGAGAATCCTCAATCGTGCCAAAACAGCATTCCTTGGACTTCAACGCCGCGATTCAATGTGACTGTTGCGTCCTGATCTTCCTCAATTGTTCCACGACGCCGATTTTGGGATTGCAACACCGCGAATCATCGTGACATGCGTCTTGTCAACTTTGAATCGTGCCAAAACGTCATTCTTGGGATTTCAACCATTCGGCCCCGTGCCACTGCTGCAACATGTTAAAACCAATGTGCGTGGCTCTCAGGCGAGAATCACGTTTTGAGAAAAATCGGCCCTCCATGTTTGAATCTGCTGCGGACTTTTCAGGCCAATGTGCGCGGCGCTACAACGAGAGCCACATTGCGGAAACGACCCGCCCTCCATCCTTAAGGTTGTTGCGCGAGTTTATGACGAATGTGCGCGGCGCTGAGGTGAGAGTGGCATCTTGAAAGCGACCCGCCCTCCTTCCTGTAGCTGGTGTAAACTTCTAAGACGAATGTGCCCGGTGCTCATGCGAGAGGCAAATTTTGAAAACAGCCCGCCTTCCATCCTTAAAGCTGTTGGATCATACGTGGTGAGGAAGTCTCAGGCGAAACGCCGGGCCCGCCCTACCACCACGTCTGCGGGTGCGACAGGGATGAGTTGTTTCTCAGGAGGAGGATGAATGGAGGATGATGATGATGATGATGAGGAGGAGGAGGAGGAGGAGGAGGAGGAGGAGGAGGAGGAGGAGGAGGAGCATTGGTTGACCGCGGACCGGTCGGGGGCGCAACGCCGCTGCCCGGTCATTGCCAGTCCGCCGACCGTCGTCGATCGACCAGCCACCGGTCGATCACGGGTCGAGGCGGGGGCGACGAAGTGCATTGACGTTGGGAGGGTGAGGAGGTGGGCGCCCTGCCTCCTCGCCGTCCCGATGGCACACGTTGGGAGGCACCTCTCGGCCCCCAGCTGCTGATGCGCGTGCTCGACATGCCGACCCCGTGAGGCTGGCCCGCCACATGTCTAGGCACTCCAAAGCCTTGAGAACCCCAATCAAGGAGCATCTCCTTAAGATTCGGCGCCCACTAGCCTATTGCGGTTCCCAGAAGTCCCCCGTTTCTTATTTCTTCTTCACTAGGTTCCGCCCCCCTTTGCGCCGCCTCCTCCTGCCGCTGCCCCTCCACTTTGTTGTCCCTTGTCCTCATCCTTCCCATCCTCTCCCCCTTCCCTGCTCCTTCCCTGCCGCCTTATCCTCCTGCTCTTGCCTCCTCTCAGTCCTCCTTCCTCTCCTCTTCTTCCTTCTTGCTCTCTCTTCTTCCCCCTTCTTCCGGAAGGGAGACAGGAGGTGGGAGGAGGTGGAGGGAGGATGCAACATAGAGGAGGGAGGAAGCAGGACGATGAATCAGGTTAAGGATGATGATTGAAGAGGGATGAGGAAGAAGGAGAGAAGATGCAGGGCGAATGGGGACTGATGAGGATGGAGGAGGATATGTTATCGAGCGTGGATGAGGGCGAGGATGAGAGACGATGACAAGTGGAGAGTACATTGGGAGTGTGAAAACAGGATGGACGACGGAAGAGGGAAGAGGAAGGATGGGGAGGAGAGGAGAGGGAAAAGAGGAGAAGAGTGAGATATGGATGATGATGATGATGATGATGATGATGATGATGATGATGATGATGATGATGATGATGATGATGATGATGATGATGATGATGATGATGATGATGAGGAGGAGTTGGATCATGAGGCATGTTAAGGAGGCAGGAGATCAGCAGGAGGAAGAGTAGTACGAGGACGAGCACGTGGAGGAGGAGCAAGTGCTGCGTGCGATTGGGTCCGGGCTCGGTCGTCGGAGCAGCTGGACCCGGGAGAGCTGCTGCACAGGCGATCGCCCTCGACATGACTGGCAAAGCAGGCCACCGCTTCTCTTGCGCAGGGCAGCTCAGAGTGACGGCCCCCGGCCGTGGAGGCAGTGTGCCTGGAGGACGGGGCGCCCCGGAGGACGAGGGCCGCCGGTGACCGGGCTCCCGGGGCCCTCCACGGGCCCGGGGGGCGGGTGCGCACGAGCGGCTCCCGGGGAGGCACCGGTCCCGGGGAGGGCCCCGGCGGCCGGGGCCCGCTTCCGCCAAGGCCCACGTCCTCTGGCAGACGGGCCGCTCCTGCCCGCGCCCATCCTGCCCATCTCCCGCCGTGCGTCCTCCGGCATTTCTGGAGGCCTTGCGGCCCCCAAGGGCCCCCTCTCTCCACAGGGGGACCCCCCCTCCATGTCCCCCCTGTCCTCAGCCGTGCTTTTCGTCACGCCCTGCCGTCTGTTCCCGAGCAGGGGGTCTCTCCCGCCCAAGCGTCACACCCGCTGCTAGTTCTAGACGCTGCGCGTGAACCCGCCAGCCCATCCAGAAACGATGCCCAGACGAGTTATCCTGATCAGGGATGTGGCGGAGCATGCTGTGGAGTAAAGAGCTGGTTAAGACGTACTAATTACCCCAAGAGGGGGAGGATGGAGGGATTACGCTCAGTGCTGCTGGCTGCAACCACCAGTGTTGCAGAGAGTGCTGGGTATGACTACCAGTGCTCGTAGAAGTTAGTGGGGCCGCCGTTAATCCGTGAAACTCTTACGTATGTTAACACGAATGTGCGCTGCGCTAAGGCGAGAGCCATATTTTGGAGCGACCCGCTCTCCATCTGTGAAGCTGTTGCTAGGTTTCAAGCTTCAGGCCTATACATGGACAGGTAGTCTCAGGCGAAACGCCCAGCCCGCCCGTCCGACTGGCCTTTGGGTGCGACAGGGAGGAGTTAAGCAGACGGAATAGGAATGGAGGATGATGAGGAGGAGGAGCGAGGTGTTTGAACGAAGAGAAAAGACAGATGTTGATGATTATGCTGCTGCTGGTGATGATGATGATGATGATGATGATGATGATGATGATGATGATGATAATGATGACGATGATCATGATGATGATGATGACGATGATGATGGTAATGATGATGATTACGATCATGCTGATCATTATGATGAAGTGGGGGCGGATGAGGATGACGGGGAGGAGGGGGGTGAGGAGGAGAAGGGGTAATATGGATGGGGAGGTGGAATGTCATGATGATCCGTCAGGAGGAGGACGAGGAGGAGGATGAATGGAAGACGGGAGTGAGCAGGAAGGATGAACGATGATGAGGAGGATGCGCAGACGTGATGAAAAAATTGATGGTCAAGATGAGCAAGATGGGGATGATGATGAATGTGGTTTAAGATGATATGCTTGATTTTCGGGGACTGTGCACATACAACTATGCACATGTATACATCTCGCGCACGTGCGTACCATTATGGACATCCATGCTGACACGCACATTTCATATATATATATGTATATGTATGTATATATATATATGTGTATATGTGTGTATATATATATATATCTCCGTAAGGGCTTCGCCCCCTGCCGCCGGCCCCCATTCAATCAGACAGGGGTATTCCAGAGCTATGTTGTATTTTCTCGGTGCAGTCGTGAAACAATGCCAGAACCTCATGCTAGGGCAACTGGTAAGCGGCATACCATATTTACGAGGTTGTATGGGCTCGGGGACGCGAATCTTGTATAATGTAGCAAGGGTTTGTGGATTCGGATGCGCGAGTTTCGTGTGATTTGCAAGGGTTATGGCCTCGGGGACGCGACTATTCCATAATGGTCTCGGGGGCGCGACTATTGTATACTTTTCAAAGGTTTCTGACTTCGGGGACGCGAATATTTAGTAATTTACAATGGATTGTGGCTTCGGGCACGCGAATATTACATTATTTGCGATGGCTTATGGCTTCGTGGACGCGAGTATGGTGTAATCTACAACGGATTATGGCCTCAGGGACACGAATATCAAGTATTTTTACGTGTCCCACGCCCCCCTCAGGAATTCTGAGAACCTTCCCAGGGCGAGGTAACAAAAATCCGTTTGGGGCTCCCACCCCTCGCGCGGACAGCATCAATGAACAGTAAGGAAGCAGAAAGCAGGACTGTAACAGTGGAAACTGGAAACTGCAACTGGAACAGGGAGCTGCAATCTTCACCCTCGCAGCCTGGTGGCCCCGCGAGGGGCCCAGCGGATCTATATATATAGGTGTATATCTATATATGTGTATATATATGTATATGTAAAAGGGGGCCGGCGGATCTACATATATATGTATATATGTTTATGTACATACATAATATATACACACATATATAGTTATGTATATGTATATATATATATATGCGTATGTCAAAACATGGCGCTGGCCACTCTTTGCCAGGGCTAACGTCGTTTAGCGCAAATGTGAATCAGAGGTCTGGGCTTGGACGTGGATTGGGCCGACGGGAAGACCCTGCTCATCAAGGCGCTGAAGAAAGAGGACCCCCTTTTTTGCGTGGGCAACTTTAGCGGCTTGCATTCCTGGCCCACTCGGCGATCAACCAGCGCACGTGGTGCCAGTCTCGGAACCGAAGTACTTGCCACATCATCCCTGGAAGGCAACGCCAGCAACGAGGAATGGAGTGCTCCCCGTGACAGTCAGGCCGATGGGGGGATGTAAGTCAAACGAAGATTCGAAACACTGGCAGGAAGGGGAACCAAACACAATCATTAAAGACATCATGTTCTAGTATTGTTTCCAGGTGCCGACCGTGCTTCCCCCTGCGCTTCGCCTGCATGCGCGGGAGACAAAGACATGGACCGATCAATCAGGACCTTCAGGATTGCAGTTGGCTCTCTCTCCCACCCTCTTCTCCCCTCATCGTTATCTCTCTCTCTCTCTCTCTTCTTTCGTTCTTTCTCTCTCTCTCTCTATCTCTCCCGCTGCTGGCAGGCATTTTGTTATCTGTTCGCTTCCTCTCTCTCTCTCTCTGTCTCTCGCCTTCCTGCTCTCTCCCCCTTGCCTTCCTCTCCCCACTTTCCCCGTCCTCCCTTCTCCTCATCCTCCTCCCTGTCCTGGTCCTCATCCTACTCCCCTCCCTTTCCCCCATCGCCCCTCCCGTCCCTCCCCCCCCTGGTACCCATCTTAAGCTTTCGTTTCTTACTCGAGGAGGAGGAGGAGGAGGAGGAGGAGGAGGAGGAGGAGGAGGAGGAGGAGGAGGAGGAGGAGGATGACCCTCTCCCATTTCCCTCCCCCTCCCCGTCCTCCCGCTTCGCCCCTCTGCCCTGCCCGTCCCCGTGCCTCCCGGGGCCCCCTGCGCCCCCACCTCCCCCTCCACCCGCAGCCCCCTGCCCACGCCGCTGTCCCTCCCAGCGTCCCTGGCCGCCCGTGGCGCGGCGAGTGCCTGCTAAGTGAGGGCGCAGGAGGAGGAGCGAGGAGGGGGGAGGAGGGAGGAGGAAGGAGGAGGAGGAAGGAGGGGGGAGGAAGGAGGAGGGAGGGAGGGAGGAAGGAGGTTGATGCGACGCGCGGCTTCGCTGTGGGCGTGCCCGTACAGTGCAGCTAGCCTTGTGGGTGGCGCTTGGGCACCACAGTCCGCCACTTTCGCCACCACAAGACGAACTCCCAAAGGTCAACACGTCGGGAGCCCGTTCCCCCACGGGCATGCCGCTGACAAACGAGCCACGGCGAACGCCCTCGCACTCCACGGCGCTCTTCGAGCGTGCTCAGCTCTGGCTCGCCTGGCGCGGCGAGCCTTGGCTACCGCTATGTCGGCCTCGATGCGGGCTCTCTGGGCCTCGCTCAAGGCCGGAGGGAGGAGGAGGAGGAGGAGGGGGGACAACAGACGGCGACGTCGACGACGTCGGAGGGACAGGAGGCGAGGAGGGAGACGGAGGGCCAAAACAGCCAATGCCAAGATGGGCAGCCGCCTCGTCCTTGTCTGCTGCGTCCGCAGTGGCACTCTGGGATGCTGTGTATTGTTGCTCTTCCTCTGCGTCCGCAGAGGGCTCTTGTTCCCCAAGGGGGTCTGGCGCATGTTCTGACTGAAACCTGTGCCTTTCAGGATCAACTCTGCGCTTGCCACGACTGGGGCGGGCACCAAAGTCCGAGGGAATCGAACGTCTGATGTCATCCTCGCTGGTCAGACTCGAAACCAGAGTCGGCGACGTCCGACGACACAAACTGAGCCACCGAAGAGCAAATCGACCTAGGAAGAGCCTCACAGAGGCCCGTCGGGTAAACCTTCTTGCCAGCCGTGCGAAACTTCTGATCCTTTTGGCGTTTGCCACGCAGGGTCATGTGAGAACCTCTGTCATGACTGCATCGACCACCTTCTGGGGTATTACAGAGATGGCTGGGGAGATCTGGCATGCGGATCCCGAGAATCCTGGTTGGCGCACGTCCTATGGTAGCTGGGTCAGTCCCCGCTGGCCAATGTTCGCACTGATCAATGTCCGTGACTGTGGCGAGCGGGGAGGAGGCGAGAGCAATAAGAGGGCGCCAGCGAAAGGAGGTGGGAGCGGAGGGGATCCAAGCGGCGGGAGGAGGGTGCTCAAGCCATCCGGATGTTCCAACCTTCAGATGTCCGACCAGAAGACATACTATGGCACGTAGCAACTGCGAGCCGACTTCCAATTGCTGCGCTTGTCTCCTGGTACAGTGCGGCACACCCCAAACATGCTGATTTGTGCGGAGCGGGCGGGGGGCCACCCTTGTACCATCGGGCCGCGGACCACGTCTCGCAGGGCTCCCCCCAGTGTTGAAAAGACGCTTAGGGCGGATGTGGTCAGCCCTTGTGTTTCAAGCTTCTTGTCGGGTCAGGTCGCCTCTGGTAGAGTCAATGGCGATGTCTATAGACAAGCAATACAAGGAACATCTGGAATCAAGAGCCTCACGTTCAAGATTCCACTGTATGTCTCCTGTACGTCTCATGCCTGAGAGAAGATGCAGCACAAATCCTTCAGGTCGCTTGATGCGAGCTGGGATGGGCGAGGCAGCCTCTCTTTCGTAATCCTGGGCCCGAAAGGGCCAACATCGGTCCTCAAAGTCCCAAGCGTCCGATCCAGGCTGAGGCTCCAATCGCGGTCCGACTGGGGCCTCGTGAAAATCGGCGGCGGCCCCGGGATGAAAACCATAATCCGACTCTATCAGAACCTGACGGGCCTCTCTGCCGCTCAGATGGTCAATGAACGGAGTCTCGAACTCCGTCTTGGGGCGAGCGGGGGGGAACGCGATGAGCAGGGAAAGCGGGCCTCCACCTGCCAAGACCTGCTTCGCGCTGACTGGCAAGCCTGGCTGCTGCGGCTGTGTTGAGTCTCTCTGTCATCTGCTGCTTCCTGTCTGCTGCCCCCTGATCGTGACTGCTGTCCTGGCTGTGCAGAATGCAGGGTATGGCGCATCGCGGCGAGTCCTTCGCCAACTGCTCCATGAGTGAGGCACGACCTGCAAAACGCATACTGCAATGCTCACATACTGTGGTGTCCCCAAGGATGCTGCGGATCGTGTGTGTAAATAGTGTGATTCCTGATGCTGTGCTGCCTTCGACCTCGGGCCTGCTGGAACGCAAACTCACACCGCATACAATTGTAGGACACTGGACGGGAATCCTGCTGTCGAAGTGGATGGGGGAGGGTCCGAGATAGCCTTGGGAACGCCTGCGGCATACAGCTCCAGAAAGATGCTGTCCTCAGCAACTTGTGCCAATGACATTCGACGCTCACAATGTGCCTGTTTGTGTACAGCTTCGGCGATGATAGCTTTCCAAGAGGCCCCGAGACTCCGAACGTACATTTCCCAAGGAAGAAGGTCATCATGCGGATCAGGGAGGTTCTGGGTTTTCGGCGATAGACCTCGAAACCAGGCAGGATCTGGACTAATATGAGTCATCCATGACCCCTTTGCTTCACGAAACAAAACACCCAAGAGCCCAAGTAAGTGCACGGGCCCATTAAACAAGAGGCGGCCGAATTGCGGAGCCTGTGCGCACGTATGTATGTGTCGACGTTGGCTTTGGAGACCTGCGCTAGAATGTAAATGTTGCGTGAAGCGGTGGCATCTGTCCTTGGCGCGCGGGGTACAGCACGGTACATGCGAACCAGATCATCATACAGACTAGCTTACTGCGCCGAGGAGAGCGGAGGTCACGTACTGGAGTTATGCAACATTCCTGAGATAAGCAATGAATCCACCACGACATCAGTCCCAATGGATGCGCTGAGGTCTGGCTCTCTGAGAACCTTCCGAATGGTCTTCCAGGGCCCCTAGCAGCTCTGGGCTCTGTGGGCAAGCTCTGGGCAACACTGCCTACCTGGCCGTATACCAAGCGATTGATCCCCACGAGGACACCCGCGTCTCTCCATAGTGCGAGCTTAGCCTTGTCCGAGTCTACATCTCGGAACTGGTTGACCGCGGCAGACTTACCCTTGCCAGAGTGTAGTCGCATGCCTCGCTCAGCAGAAGAGTCAAATATGATGCTGATCAGCATCGGCGCGATAGTGAGTAATGTCTGGGCTCGACCCATGAACATGAACAGCGAATCACCGAATAAGGCCATATCTAGGGAGTGCTCAGTATATACTGGTTCTGGATGAGCTGCTTCGGAAACACTGCCGTTAGCACGCGCGGGATATCGTAGCTCGACCCCGAACTCCAAGATGCGACGCTGGACCGACTCCATCATGGACCCCATCACGAAATGGAGTACCAGATCCCCCACTTGTTGACCAGGGCCCGAGCCTATGGCAGGAACGGCCACGTGAGAGCCTCCACGGGACCACGAACCAACGTTGATGGCCGGCGTCGGCTACAAGAGTATGCAGCCTGGGTCGGGGGCCGAGAGACTCAAAGAGGGTGCTCTCTTGATGCGCGTGCTCTGCGAGGTCCTTGGCTGCGTCGGCAGGTGATCCTCCCATGCGGTGAATGTGGGCGACGGCCTCCACGTTGAGAGCAGTGCGTGCGAAAGATCAGCTCGCGCAGACTCTTGTAAACAGCCTGTGCAGCATTCAGTGGCAACAGTAAAGCAGACATCTTGCATGCAGCAGCGAGCTGTCGGACAGCGCGGAGTGCGAGCGCAGCATAATCTGCCCCTATACATCGAATACCGCCGTGCTGTCTAGGTCCAGCAAGCGGGGAAAGGTACGGTGTTACTTGTGATCTAAGCAAGGCCCGAGGTCCCTTGCCAAGCTGAGAAGGTCCCCAGATAGACCTGTCGCAATTCCTGCCCCCGGGGCCCCCGCGCTTGAATCGAGCCCATTCGTGCCCCCCTTTCCACTGTATAGGTTCGATCGTACGTAAGAAAATCTTCGTGATCAAATGGTGAAGTACCTGGGCAGTGGGTTTAAAAAGCTTGGTGACCATGCGCCCAGTGATGCCATCAGGTCCTGCTGCTGCGTTTCGTGTAAGTTTGCATGATCGCTCCACTTGTGCAATGCTGGGGGTATCCGCTATGGTGCAATCTAGATTCGCGATCTGGCAGAGCAGGCGTGTGATCACTGTGTCATGGCAGATCTTCAACGGGAGCCACAGTACTGGCCTCAAT